CTACTCCTCAGCCCAGATCCCCGCCTCCTGCCAAGCTGCCCAGCCCTAAACACATCAGATAACCAGACCCAGAGAGCCAGCCGCCTCTCTCCTTCCACCTGAGGGCGTCCGCAGCACCACCTACTGAGGCACACAGCTGTCACCAGCGTCCTCCACGAGGCACCCGCTGGGCCCTCTCTGCATGTGGCACGGTGGCTGGCGTACAGCGGGTTGTGGCTGAGTGAACAGCTCTCCGCACACGTGGTCTGACCTGGCCTTGCGGACATCCGTCACCTGAAAAGGGAAAGCTCCATCACGCCACCCCTCCAGTAAGGGGCCTGCAGGTCTGCACACGGGCCCTTCAGTCTGCAAAGAACGCCGCCCACTGCTCTCCATGGAATTCAAACCTCGCTCACAGCGGCCCTGAATCCCACTCGCCTGGGGTCCTCCTCAGACAGTGACCCTGGTGACTGTTCAACTCCTCGGGCTACTGTGACTCTGGCTTTTCGGCTGTAGCCCCGGACTGTCTAAGCACAGGCCACCTGTGTGTCCCCTCCCGTCTGAGCTGGTCCTCATGGCGCCCCCAGAGCTGGCTGCCATGGCTCTCAATGACCCAGTGATCCAGCTCTGTGGGCCACTGTCCACCTGCCAACTCCTCCCCACCAGAGCCTCGTAGTCACAGATGTCTCAACACACAGTGGCAGACGTGGGACCGTTTGTGTCCCCAAGCCCTCCTTGCCTCCTGCTAACACTCCTCGGCTATGCCCATGGCCCCTGCCCTGGCACACAGTGTCACTGACACGGAGCCAGGCCTCAGCCACAAACCCCGCCCCTCTGTGAATCCCAGAGCAGGTCAGTGTCGTTGTCTGCAGCCAAGAAATCAGGATGGACACAGCCTGCACCGTGACATCACTGTCCCCAATTCCCACACTGCCCCTTCCTGTGTTCACCCACTCAGCCTTGCCCTCCCCCAGCGCACGCCCACACGCACCCTCCTGAGCCACCATCCTGTCAGCCCTCCTGGCCACCCACACCTGCAGCGGCCCCTGCAGCTCCTGGTCCCCGGCCCACATCACTGAATGCTCTTGGTGAAGGCCCAGGCTTCGGGATCAGACAGGCCTGCACCCAAACCCTGCCCACCTCGTGAAAAGTAACGGCACCCTGGACAAATGGCCCAACCTCTGACCCACTGCTGTATGTCAAGAGCCGGGCCCAGTGACTGGCACACGCAAACAGGTCATAAAAGGGAGTGGCTCATGTGCACACATACGCACGTGCATATCTACACGAGAGAACCACAGTCCAAAGCTGAGAGCCGCAGATGCAGAATGGAGCCCGGGGGGGCAGAGCAACGGGCCCAGGACAGCGCAGCCAGAGAAAGAGAGCCCTCACTACTTGGCCTGTGCACCTGGAGGCTTCTTAGGAATGCAGACGCTCAGGCCTCACCCTGGGGCCAAGACCCAGAACCTGCATTGTAACAGGCTCCCCAGGTGACTGCGTGCACACCAAGGCGGAGGACTGCTTTGGAGAGAGGCCTCCCCACTTCCAGCCCACGCTTCTTCCAACACAGCACCGCGTGTTCGTCTCCAGCGTCCTGCTGTTATGCAGTTGGGGTGGTTAGAAGCCCCCATGCAAAGCTGCTGGGGAGACTCCCAGAGGCGCTGAGCGCTCACAGGTACCAGGCGCTCAGTAGGCTCGCAGCCCGCCAGCACCTCAGCCACATGGAGAACGGCATGGGGGGGGCACAGACACTCAGTACAAGGACCACGGCCTTGGTCTGGGAGACGGGCGCTCGGACAGAGGGATAAAGAACAATCGGGGCAGCGGGGGACAGGGAGCCCCCACTGGCCAGGGGTCTAATCTGAACGGACCCGGGAGCCATGGAACGGCAACAGAATGTGGCTTGTTTTCCAAAGGTCACTCTAATTACAGCACGTGGAGAGCTGTGGGGACAAGAATGATGGAGACCAGCTCGGAGGCTCCAGAGTGGTCAAGAAAGAGATGACATCAGCCTGGACCAGGGCCATGAGAGCTGTCAGGTGCCGGACATGCTGTGAAGACGGGCTGCAGGGAGAGGTGAGAAACCTGGGTCACATGGAGCTGCCATGTCCCTGAGATGGGCGGTGAGGACACCAGGTGGACGGTCTGACACAGGATGGAGCTTAGGGCAGAGATCAGGACCACACGATTAAAGGCTTTAAGCTCCTTGGAGATGAGGACGGGTCACCCCTGTCCTTCATCCCTTACAGCCCCCACGAGGCAGATGTAGTGACTGGATGCCGACTCACAGCGACGCCATGTGACAGGAGAGAACTGTGCTCCATGGGCTCTTCACTGGCTGACTTTTCAGAAGGAGATTGCCAGGGCTTTCTTCCGAGGTGCTTCTGAATGGACTCAAACCACCAACTTTTTCGTTAGCAGCCAAGCACTTAACCATCCGCACCCTCAGGGGGTCCCAGCTGCTCAACACGCATCAGTGAACAGCATCAGTGACAACGTGAGACAGTTCCTGGGAACTGAGAGAACAGATGCTACTCTGTGGAACGGGTTCTGGTCCCCAGAACGGGTCACTTACAGAGCAAGTACAGGCAGCAGGGAGAGTGCTGGGTCCTCTCTCAGCAGCCTGGGAGCAGGGTCAGTGCAGTGGGGGGCTGCAGCCCCAGCGTACCAGAGGAGAGGTCTCAGATGCCCACTTCTCAACCATGCTCCGAAGACGGCCACGTGTGTTCGCTGGTGATGGGCCAGGTTTCCCCTTCCTGATACAGACGAGAGTGTGCCCCTCTGGAGCACAGAGACCTCCTCAGAGCCCATCTGGAGAAGAAGCTCTGCTTCTCTCTCTCAAGGAGCCCGGCACGCTATCCTGCCGAAACCAGGCCAGCCTTACCTTCTCCTCCAGAGACAGTCTTCACTGAGATGCAAAGAGGGCAAACACCAAGGACCCCTGCTGCTTGTTCAGGACCGTTTGTCATATACTGACCACTCACAGTACAATGTCCTGGCTATCTTCCCAGTTGCTGTCAAGTCTTCATGACTCACAGTGGCCCCATGTGTGTCAGAGTAGAACTGCGCTCCACAGGGTCTTCAGTGGCTGATTTTTCAGAAGTAGATCCCTAGGTCTTTCTTCCAAAGCGCCTCTGGGTGGGCTCCAACCTCCAGCCTTCTGGTCAGCAGCCAAGCTCGTTAACCATGTGCACCACCCAGGTGCCCACAAAGGTGGTGCATGAGCAGGGTGCCAACAACCAGAGCGAGCAAACGGGGCCACAAACACACGACGGACAAACCCCAGGGTGTCTGTGCAGCCTGCTCTCCCCCCATAACCTTCCTGACCCTTTTGTCAAGTCGGCCGAGAGGCCTACCTCCACCACCCCTACGCAGCTCAGGCGCCAGGTTCCCCCGCGGCCAGCACTCACTCAGTACACCCCATGAAAGGTGTTCCTAAAGATTAGGAAAAGGGTTCTGTGGTCAGAAAGCCCGAGCTCCTGGCTGTGCGATCTCGGGCGCATTAATTTCACCTTGCCGAGCCTGAGTTTCTCCATCTCTAAATAGTTAGCTGGGCCTGCCTTACGGGCCTTCTGTGGTGCAGGCTGAAGTAGCAAGTCAAATGCTCACTTTCCCTATGGGAGGGGGGTCTTTCCCAGCAGTGCCCCGCAGCTGGGAGGCCCCTCCGTGGAGCGCAGTGGGCCTGGGATCAGTGTCTCCAGCCCCGGGGTCAGGGTCTCCATCCTGGGGTGTCCATCCCGGGGTCGGGTCTCCGTCCCGGGGTCCCTGTCCTGGGGGCGGGGTCTTCATCCTGGGGCTCGGGTCTCCGTCCCGGGGTCAGTGTCTCCATCCAGGGGTCCCCGCCCCGCGGTCAGTGTCTCCATCCAGAGGTCCCCGTCCCAGGGTCCCCGTCCCGGGGTCGGGTCCCCAGCCCCTGGCGCGAGCTTACCCAGTTCCCGAAGCCGAACTGCTCGATGGCGTCCAGCAGCAGCTGCTCCTCGCGGCTGGTCCAGCCGCCCTCGGCCTCGGGCCCCCAGAGCGTGAAGCGGCCGCCGTCCACCAGCTGGTAGCCGTGGTAGCGGCGGTGGTGGCCGATCTCCGCGCCGGCCGAGAAGCACTCGGGGCACAGCTCGATGTCCTGGCACTCGGTGCAGCGGAAGCGCAGCGGGCTCACCTCCGCCAGGCAGTACACGCAGTACTTCTTGCCGAGCTCCGCCATCTTCCCGCGGGGCGCGCCGCCGCCG